AAAAAAACTAAAAAAATTAAAAAAAAACAAACAAACAAAAAAAACAAAAAAAACACAAAAAAAATACAAAAAAAATACAAAAATAAATACAAAAAATAAACAAAAATTACAGATTAAGTACAGTGTATGTAATAATAGGAGTTGTGTGTATCTAACATCTCTCCCCCCTGTCCTGTGTGACTTCATCCTGACTTCTGGGGGGGCTTTAAAACAAACAGAGAAGCCATTCGGATTAGGGGAAAAACAAGAGTGAAAAAGGTCAGCAATTAACTCATTGGCTGCCAAAGACGTCTATAGACGTCTTTTATGTTTTTCAACGAGAGTGTCTAGGGGACGATCTGCTAAAGCTTGTCCGTAAATATCGGCTTCTAGACAGAGTATGTACTAACAAATTGACCCTCTAGGGGGCAGTGCCACTTTTGATGGGAGATGAGCATAGACTGTAGGCAAATAAGAAAAAGGGAACGGTTCACTATGAGAGAACATGTCGCCGGTGAGACGCAAGTCCAGGAAGAACGGAATAAGGTATAAACAAATTTTTTTTCCAGATGAAAGAAGAGAGTCTACTCTTTCTTTTGGTGTGTTCGGTGTTTACATAGTCATAGCACAAACTATTCTGTGGCTCTTGAAAAATCAGTCAAAATGCTCAAAAAACTCTGGCAGTATGGGACTCTCTGTTCTGAAAATGGCTGGCAGTCAATGAGTTAAAGGAGACATATTATACCCTATTTCAACAAGTTAAACTAGTTCCCTGAGTCATTTAGGTCTCAACTGATATTTAGCTTTGTCATTAACTTGAAGTGTGCATGTCCACCTGTTATTTTAGGACTATTTGTAGCGCAAATATTTTGTCTGTACTCTGAATAAAACTATTAAGAAAACCACACAAATAAGACTTACAGTGCAAACAGGTAAGAACCTAATATCAGTTGGATATGGTTATTGTCAACTAGCGTTAAGTTATAATACAGATTAACCAATAATAACTTAAGGTGGTTATTATTGGTTAATCACGTCGGCACGCTAACGCTACCATGCTAACGCTCACGCTACCAGGACGTCTCCACAGATAGGGGAGTAAGCTGAGGGGGGGGGGCAACATGCAGGTGAAAGGCTGGAATATTATAATGAGCTAGAGCTAATGACGTCAGAAACTAACCACTCCTGAAACCTCCTGATTTATCTCCTGGATTCAGACTGAGGCAGCCCACAAAAACATGACTGAGTCATATTTTTTCACACTTTTCCTGCTGATAGGTCCCAAATGTACATAATCAAATTATTAAAAACTTTCTTTTGCATAATATGTCCCCTTTAAAACAAACAGAAGCCATTCGGATTAGGGGAAAAACAAGAGTGAGAAAGGTCAGCAATTAAATTAATCATCTTGCATCAAGACAAAAAAAAAAAAAGATTACAGACGCTGACTAAATGAATAAAAAACGATGAGGGGGCAGTTGGATTCTCCCCTGACCTTGTCTGCTGGCTGGTGGAGAATAGGCAGTTTCTCCTCTATCTTATCCAGCCCCTTCAGAGCGTACTGGTTCACCGTGGCAACTGAAACAAATACACAACAAATGTTAACTTCAAACATCAGATAAATAAGATTAAGCGCAACAATGAAGTGACGGCTCCGAATAAATCCCTGCTAAGAGATGAAAGCAGTCCTTTCTTAAGGTTACAAATCTATTTCTGCCTCGTTTTCAAACCTAGAAGTGAGACGCTTCATTTAACCCTATGATGCCAAATATATTATAATTGATCCGGTTTCTGAAGTCTTTTGGATCTGAGACTTTTTGCATCATTCAGTGGTAAAAGCTTTGCTCAAACCCCTGTTGTACACATTCAGATATACCTGATAACAGCCAGTAGAAGACTACACCAACATATATTTTTGACTTATTGCACGCTAATTTGATCAAAATAATTTCTGTTTTTTTCCTTCATGTGTTGTTGAGGGGCCAAAGAAAGACTTCAGACTAAAAAAAATCCAATATTCTTCCTATTTTTCTTGGATCAGGCTTTAAAGGGTTAAAACGAGCTAAAATACTCCTTAATAGTTTATTTCAGAACCTTACAGCTGGGCCCCTCAGCTGCATACATATAGATAGATTTATTTCTGTATTTAATCAGGGCAGTGCACATTAATAAACAATCTTATACTTCTGTACAGATTGTAAATGAGCCAGATTATAGCATAGTTGCTAGTTTACATCTGTCGTCCTGAGGCAGGAAGACAAAAAAAACACAAGATCACATAATACAAAATCAGTTAAAACACATAGAAACACATTCAGACGATGACATTACAACAATAAAATTAGTGAGTGCATGACTGGGAACTTTTAAGAAACAGTTTAAGGTGCTTTTTAACTCATTGACTGCCAAAGACGTCTATAGACGTCTTTTATGTTTTTCAACGCGAGTGTCTGGGGGACGATC